GCACAAATGAGTCTGTCATCAAGGTGTTGACCCTTGGATGGGCGCACCTTGACAGTCTTCCCCACTTGAACGGTCGACGCCCTCGACGACTTTGCCCAATAAGCATCAATCTCGTCTTGAAAAGCTGACAAGTCTGTCTCCCATTCCCAGCTGATTTCTTCATCTCCAAGGCCTCTCAATTTCACCAAGTATTGCCTTTGTTTCTTCTTGGAAACCATTTTCACCCGATCGGCCAAGATAGATTCAACAAACTTTTTTCCTGCTTTAGCTATGATGGTTTGGCGTTTCAGCTCATTTCGGGTTGGATCTTCCTTGTTTGGATAGTAAGGCTTCAAATAACTTACATGGAAAACCGGGTGCACTTTCAGCCAAGATGGAGCATCTATCTTGTAAGCACACTTGCCAATTCTCTTCAGAATGGTTATCGGTCCCTCATACTTGTGCACTAGCCTTTTGTCTCTTCCCCTCTTGAACTTGCGTTGCTCAGGGTTGAGTTTGACAAGAACTTGATCCCCAACTCTAAACTCAAATGGCCTCTTTTTTTCATTAGCCCATTTCTTCATTTTACTTGTTGCTTTTTCAAGATAGGCACGATTAATGTCATGATTTCTCTTCCATTCCTTAGCAAATTGGTAAGCCCTGGGTGCCTTTCCTTCATAAGGCCCATCCACTGTGTGGGGCAACAGTGTGTTGCTGTCCATTCACTATCTCAAAAGCACTTTTTCCCATAGAGCTACTCTTTTGAGAGTTAAAGCATAACTGTGTTGCATCAAGAAATTGAACCTAATTTCGTTGATTAGCATTGACAAAGTAGCGCAAATACTCCTCGAGCATACGGTTGAAGTTTTCAGTTTGCCCATCCATCTCCAGATGGTAGCTTGATGAAGTGTTAAGTTGTAACCCAAGAAGCTTGAATAACTCCATCCAGAAGTTGCCAACGAAACGTGAATCTCGGTCACTAACAATAATTTTAGGCACACCCCAATATTTAACAATGTGCTTGAAGAAGAGTTGGGCAGTCTCCTCTGTTGAAACATACTTTGGGGCAGCTACAAATGTGGCATACTTGGAGAACCGATCCACAATAGTCAAGATAGTTTCGATGTCTACCATTTTAGGCAGTCTAGTGATGAAGTCAAGTGATACACTTTCCAATGAACGTTTAGGCACAGACAAAGGTTCAAGCAAGCCTACTTTCTTCTTATGCTCAACCTTGTTTTGCTGGCAAGTGAGACAAATGCAGACATATTCTTCCACATTATCACGCATCTGGGGCCAATAATATCCTTGCTTCACCAAGGCCAATGTTCGCTCCCAACCCGAATGTCCTGCCCAAAGTGTTTCATGGCACTCCCTAAGAAGTGTCTTTCTCAAATCACCAGCCCTGGGTACAAAGATACAGTTGCCTATTGTCATTAGTAGTCCATCTTGCACCCAAAATTGGCGAGTCTTTCCCATTTTGACAAGGTTCATAAGATTCTCTGCCATAGGATCCTTGTCTAGATAAGCCTTGATTTTCTCCTTGATGCTGGTTGAAATGGAAATGAGTGAACATACATGATAGCACACGGCAAGCTCTGCCTTCCTACTTAGTGTATCAGAAACATGGTTGGTGCCACCAATCTTGTATTCTAAGGCAAAATCAAACTCTGTCAACTTCTCTTGCCACCGTGCTTGTTGTGCGCTTAGCTTGGGTTGTGTTAAGAAATGGCCAACCGCCGTGTTGTCAGTCTTTATAACAACCGTGAGCCCAAGATGTAGTGCCTCCAAGTCCTCAGACAATGCACTACTGCAAGCAACTCTTTCTCATAAGTTGGATATCTCCGTTCGGCATCATTGAGCTTCCTACTCTCATGGGCAATTGGATGACCATCCTGCAAAAGAACACCACCCAAAGCAAAATCAAACGCATTAGTTTGTATCTCAAAAGCTTTACCTAAGTCAGGTAGAGCAAGAACAGGGTCTTTAGACATAGCTTTTTTCAAGGCTTAAAAGGCTTGTTGACACTCTTTCACCCAAACATATGGCTTGTTCTTCTTTAGTAACTTTGTCAATAGGGAAGCTAGTCTTGAGTAGCCTTCAACAAACTTGTGATAATAATTAGCCAACCCAAGGAATGACCGCAACTCTGAGACATTAGCAGGTGGTTTCCACTCTTGAATAGCCTTGACCTTCTCTTGGTCCATTTTGATGCATCCATGCTCAACAATGTACCCTAGGAACTTAATCCTCTCTTGGACAAAAGAACACTTCTCTAGCTTAACATAGAGCTTGTGCTCTCTCAACTTGGATAGTGCTTTCTTGAGATGTTTCACGTGCCCTTCTAAAGTAGAGCTATAAATCACAATGTTATCCATGTATACTACCACTAATTGGTCTAAGTACTTTTGAAAAACTTCATTCATCATGGTGCAAAATGTTGCTGGGGCATTGGTCAAGCCAAATGGCATGACTAAGAACTTATAAGAGCCATAGCGAGTAACACATGTAGTTTTGGGCTCGTCTCCCTCATCAATTCTTACTTGATAGTACCCCGATCGAAGATCTAACTTTGTAAAATACGTCACTTTGCTCAATTGATCAAATGAATCAGCAATTAGGGGAAGGAGATACTTGTTCTTAATGGTCAGCTTATTGAGTGCCCGATAATCCACATATAAGTGAAGACTACCATCATGCTTCTTTTGGAATAAGACAGGTGCACCAAATAGGGCCTTGGATGGCCTAATGAAGCCTGCTTCCAATAACTCTGTAAGTTGCTTCCTTAATTCATTCAACTCAGGAATAGGCATTCTATATGGTGCACGACCTAGTGGCTTTGCCCCTGGCACCAACTCAATAGCATGATCCATACCTCGGCGTTGAGGCAAATCCTTAGACAACTGTTCAGGCATAACATCTACAAATTGCCTTAAGGCCTTCTTGACTGCAGCTGGGACAGAAATAGATTCAAGAGCTTCATTCAACTTCAATGCGGCAACCCAAGTTTGTTCACCATGCCTAATATCCCTCTTGAGTTGTATAGCTGAGACAAACCGATTACTATTGTTGGTGGCCGTAGTAGGAATAAGACATGGCTTATCCCCCATAACACACATACTATTAGAATAAGGCATGACTGCCGACTTTGTGCTTCTCAAGAAATCCAACCCAAGGATGGCTTGGAAGTCATCTATGGGTACTGCGGTGAAATCTACTTTTCCTTCCTAAGTGCTGACCTTCAAATGAACAGATTTTGCAACCCCATAGATGGGTTGCACCACCGAGTTAACCGCCTTGATACGGCTGTCATCCTTCTCTAAAAATAGCCCAAATCTTTCAACTTCGGTCCCTGTAACAAAGTTGTGGGTCGCCCTTGTGTCAATCAAAGCACGAATGGACTTCCTATTGAGTTTTATATCCACAAATATCAAACCTTTGTTGGATGACTTGCTCTTATTCAACTTGCCTGATGATTCCCCACTATACATGGGTTTCTTCCCTTTGCCTACATCTTTAGACTCCACAAGTTATTTCCCACTTTGCCACTCTTGGCATTCTTCTTCGGCCTCCTTATAAAAGCCTTCTTCTCTATGGCATTCATCATATGAAAGGCTCCCACTCTAGACCCTTAAAACCCTTACCACTTCGCCTAGACTGCACATCTTCTTCCTCGCTATCATCGTCACTTGGTTGAGAGACATGGTTAGTCATCGCTGCTAAAGCATTCAAGACATGCTTTTGTGGACATTCAGATAACCGATGTGGCCCATTGCATAAGAAACAAGAGATAGGGCCGTTTGCTTTGCTTGTAGAGAACTGTTGAGGGGCTTTTGCCTTGTCACCATATCTCTTCTGTTACCCGAATGGGTTTTAGATGTAGAAGTGTTGGCTCCCCCACTCTTAGGTTTGCCATAGCCTTAAGGCTTTCCACCTCCCCTACTTTTGTGTGGGGAACCACTATCCCATTGTTTAGGTTCGGCGTAGTCCGTAAGGCACTCAGCTGCTGCTTGTGCATGGGCTAAATCTTGCACTCTTTGCCTTTGAAGTTCAACTCTAGCCCATGGCTTCAATCCCTTAAGAAAGAAGAAAAGCTTGCCTTTCTCTAACATGTCTTTGATGTCTAGCATAAGCTTAGAGAATTGTTTCACATAATCTCTTATAGTGCCGGTGTGCTTGAGATCCCGCAAAGCATGCCGGTCATTATACTCAACATTTTCAAGGAAGAATTAGAGCTTAAGTTCATGCTTAAGTTGCTCCCAAGTCTCAATTGTGCATAAGTCGCGTTGCATCTCATCATGTTTAGTCCGCCACCACAACTTGGCATCACCAGACAAATATATTGTGGCTATAGAAATCCTTGTCACCTCAGCTTCAGCTTTCACAACTTTGAAATATTGCCCCATGTTGAAGAGAAAGTTGTCTAACTCCTTGGCATCTTGGGCTCCACCGTAGGCACGGACTCGGGCACACGCACCCTAGGGAATTCCATGCCACTACCAGGTGCGTTGCCAAAGGCACGAATAAGAACACCAACCCAGCCACTAAGGTCTTCAATCTCTAGCTTGAGTTCAGTGACAACATCCTCCCAATCTTGCCCTTGAGTGAGGCCATAAGTTTGTTCAAGATCATGAACTTATTGCTCAAGGTTGGCTTATGAAGCTGCCAAGGCATTCATATTGTCCATACGCTGCTCTAAGAGCTCAATTCTCTCCCTTTGCATGGGTTGATGGTTGCCAAAGTATCCATTTAGAAAGCCAATAATAGAAAAAGCCAAATAGACTGGGCTCTAATGCCAATAGTCGCACACCGGCAATGCGGAAACCTTGTCAAAGATATGCAAGTGTGTGTGGCGCTAGTTAACTCTGTTCACTAGCCTGCTAATAAAGCTTAAAAGGTTTGCAAAGACAAGCAAACACAATATTAGTTAAGTTGATGAGCCACAAGATTGGAGACAAGCCACAAAATAACAAGCAACAAGCTAAAATTAAAGCAAGTAACAATGGAAAAGATTTGCACAATTTAAAGGCGAAATGAACTTTTCATTGATCAAAAGTAGGCATTACAATAGTTGAACAATGCACCAAAAGTGCTACAAAAGGTGTCTTACCATTGGCTAGGTTGGGGTACTTTAAACGCACAAGTGGTTTGGTTCAACACTGGGATACTCCCTCCCTAATATAGCTTGTCAAGCCATTTCCTAGTTGGCAAGAGGAAACATCCACTATATTTGAGGAGTCATAATGGATTTTTAAAAAAATTTACAAAAAGAGAAAAAGTACAATACTGGACCCAAAACACCTTTAATACTAAGGTATTTACATAAAAAATTACAAAACAAAAAGACAACATTTGACCCTCCAAAAGTTGGCCTAAAGTTGCTGTTGGGCAGGCAAGTCTGTGGCCTGTTGTGGCTGGGCTGCTTCATGGCATGCCTTGGGTTGTCTTGCACTATGCCTTGGGCCTTGACTTGCACTTGCACCTGCACCTGCACCTGCACCAACAACTTCTTAGACATGTTTTTAACTCTCCAAATGGCACAAATAAGTGTGACATCAAGGTGTTGACTCTTAGATAAACTTACCTTGACACAAGGCCAAGGGGATACTACCAAGTCTATTGCTTCCAAATGAAAGCTTTGATTTGAAGAAACAAAAGGACCCAAGAACACAATACTATACTATGTACAATAATGGTGCAAATGTATAATATATATTTTGACTGTATTGTTTATTCATTCATTATTTTATCATGCATTTTTTTTCCATAGAGAAGTAAATAAAATTGAACCCCACGTAAAAGGAATACAACACTTCTAACACTGTAATCTGTGAATTTGTACAAATAGAATCCTGCGTAAATATTGCTCTCCTGGTTTATTAATGTCAAATTTTTGTATTTCATAATGCTTCCCCCCCCCCCCGGATCTCTTTTTTACTTGGTATGTGGTCAAGATTTATTATACACCAAAAAAATCTGATATTGATTTTTGTGTATAAATTTGGGCCAACTTTTGATAATGATTAAACGAGAGGAATTTGTTACAAAAATAAAAAATAGAATAGTAGACCAAACTATTGATGGATCAATAGATGTGGGAACCATTAACATTTGAACCATAGCTTTAGGGTGTGGCTTCATAATCACAAGTTCATAACCATTTTTCAGTTGGAGAAGGTAAAAGGATGGATAATAATCATGATTAACAATAATCATTGATTTATGTACTGATTTGACTCAGAATTAAGATAATGCGATAAGTGGAAACCAAAAGATGCCATCGCAACTAAAGTGTCCAGGCTTAATTATTGTTATCCAGACAATTAACCATGATAATTTTTTTATTAAACCATACGAAAATTCTTTGTGATTATCAGAAGTGCCGGGTACATCAATGTTTTTTTTACTACTTCCATTATATCACTTTATGTCTCCTCATTTAACATAATAGCCTTTAAATCAATGGCACAAACAATAGTTGAACTACTAAATATGGATATAAATATGGATTCTTATATAGCAGGCATCACTGTTTGTTTCCATGATGTTTTTGTGAGGGTGACAACCACTTAATGTCCCATTGAGATATTTATAAATGAAAGGCCCTACTACCGTTCAATGAGCATTCAAATTAAATAAAGTTTTTAAAAAAAAAATTAATAAAATTCTTACACATGCCAATATTAATCACAACATATCCTATAAATTAAAACCTGTTACATATTATAATAGAAGCAACTTGCCCTAATCCTTATTTTCTCTAAACCAAAAGTCATTGTCAATAACAAATCATTGTCATTACCCATAATAAATTGCAACTACAGTTATCAATAAGTCAATGATAAGTTTTTGGAACCTCAAGCTCCCTCTTTCAAATGCTATGATATTGTGAATCTAGCATAGTAGCAGACCTTGTTTATCCTTCTTTTTGTTATCAACTTTGGTAGAAGACTTGGAGGTTGTTTGCTAATCTAATCCCATCACATACATAAATTGAAAATTTGTCAAGGAATCTTCTATGAAGTATACATTTGATAGTGCACATCACCTAACAGTTGAAACTCAAATTAAAAAGTCATAATTTAGATTAGATTAATTAGCTAACTATTGAATCTTGAGTATGCTCCATTGAAGGTGATTTTTTTGAAAAAAAAAATGAAATATTTAGTGTAAAGTCTATCTACATGAACTTATACAATGAAGTCCTTGCATAACGGCTGATGTCACACACGGAAAATTGTTTGGAAGCTTAATCATTTTTTTTAATGGTCGTGATGGTTTTACCTTTAAATTTAAATTTTAATCAAAAGAATTAAGGGGCAAGAAAGGATAGACAAAACCTGTCTAACTACATCCTGCACAACAGAAAGAGCAAAACCCACTAGAGAAAAAAAAAACAAAAACACAAAACACAAAACAAAACAAAACAAAAAAATAAATATAATTGAAGAACATTAAAAAAAACACACACAAAAAGGTGAAATCTAACTTCTCTATATCATGTAATTAATCCTTAACAAACTGCAAGTCTCCAGAAAGGCCTTTCAGGAGGCAGTCAAGTAAAAGTCTCTGATGGGATTTTGGGAATAGAAATTAGAATTGGACTGTTACTACTTAAAAAGAAAGAAGGTTGTTAGAAAACCATATCCAGCTCTAGAGACTGACAAATACTAGGAAACCAAGGGTGAGGTTGTAAATCCTTACCCATTTCCTTTTCTTTTCTTTTTTTTTTTCTTTTTTTTCATTTTTTTGTTTCTTTCTATCTAATGTTTTCCTCTTCTAAAGCTAAGTCTAACTAGTGCAAGTCCACAAACATCACACAAATGCCATAAATATCAACATCACCAAACTAAAATTCATATTGAAATATCTAATAGTAATCAACACTTCAAAATTTCAATTCGTGTTCACATCACCTTGTGAAGTACATTGATCATCCATAACATTGAACCGAAATGCTACATTAAGTTGAAAAAGCATAAATAAATCTTGTGATACCTTTTCATTTGATGGCATTGACAACCCCACTATTGAGAAGCCGCTCCACATACTGGCCAAGAATGTCTACCTCCAAGTTCACCTTCTGCCCGACTTTCTTCAATGGAATCACCACATTCTGCTGAGTGTAAGCCACTAGCATGAAATTAAAACACTCATCTTCATCAAACACCTTCACAACAGTCAGACTAGTCCCATCCACAGCTATGAACCCTTTTGGCACAATATACTTCAACAACTCCGGTGTTGTCTTCACCTTCACCCACAACGAATCGTCTTCAGGCTCGGTGGACACAATGTCACCTGTCCCATCAACATGGCCTTGAACGAAATGCCCTCCCATTCGGGTTGATGGTTTCAATGCTCTCTCCAAATTGACCAATGAGCCCATTTGGAGCTCAATCAGCGACGTTTTTCTGAGTGTTTCAGGCGATAATCCGACAGTGAATTCAAATAATTGAGTGTCGAAATGGGTGACTGTAAGACAGGTACCATTGATGGAGATGCTATCACCAAGGTTGACGTCTTCAAGGACAGTCTTCGCATGGATTGTCATGGTGAATCCGCCGTCATCGTCGGAACCCAGCTGCTTGACCTTGCCTATTTCTTCCACAATGCCAGTAAAGAGGGAACGAATCGGACTGTGGTAGGACTTGAATTGGGATTTGGATTTGGGGTTGCCAATGCGGAAGAGGAGCCGGGGAGGTGGAGGTTTGAGATTGAGGGTGTAGCGGAGGTGGGAATTGGGAGGAGTTTTAAGGAGGTTGAAGACTCTAGCTTTTGGAATGGAGGGGTTTAGGGATTTGGAAAATGAAGTGGGCGTGGAAGAGATGGCCATATTCATTTACTTAGTTGGAAAATTTCAGATTCCTCGAGTGGGAAAGTTATTGTGACTAGATTTGAGAATCAAATGATAAAAAAAATTGGAAAACAAAGAAGATCAGCAGTCCTGCAAAAGCTCCTTCTAGACCATTTAGTAGTTTGAAGTTTGGCTCAAAGTTGATCATTCGGCGTCCAAATGGGATATTGAAATGGTGCCTGCTATATATATAATACATATGCAAATGTGAGTTCATATTTTTCTTTTCTACATTTCTCATCTCATCCAATTTTTGAACTTAAAATCCTTAATACTCATTTCAAACAAGCAGCTTCAAAGACATGACGGCATACAACAAAATATTTATTAAAAAGACATTTTGTTAATGTCTGATCCGATAGGGAATGACTCTACGACTCATGGATTGTGCAACTTTTTTAAACCAAAAAATCAGTGGTTTACTTCAAGTAGCACCCAAATTGTGACATGTTGAAGACACTGATAAGTTTGCAGGGTATTTCTTACTAAGAGCTTTGGCCATTCAAAAATCCATAGAAAACCTTCCATCCCGTTCTGTGGCGAAAACGAAAGCATAGGCATTAAGCATCACTAATTGGACTCGTTTCAAACAAGCAGCTTCAAAGACATGACGGCATACAACAAAATATTTATTAAAAAGACATTTTGTTAATGTCTGATCCGATAGGGAATGACTCTACGACTCATGGATTGTGCAACTTTTTTAAACCAAAAAATCATTGGTTTACTTCAAGTAGCACCCAAATTGTGACATGTTGAAGACACTGATAAGTTTGCAGGGTATTTCTTACTAAGAGCTTTGGCCATTCAAAAATCCATAGAAAAACTTCCATCCCGTTCTGTGGCGAAAATGAAAGCATAGGCTTTAAGCATCACTAATTGGAAGAGAACATACAACAATATATCAGATTCCTAATTTTTTGACATCAACTGATATAGTTGATGTGTAGCCAAATACAACGTGTTGAAACACTATTAACAAAATATCATCAAACTTCCAAGATCTGGAACGCAAATATGATCGAACTTCTAAAATCTGAAATTCGAATGGAATCTAACTTCAAAATTTATAAAGTTGATTAATCGTTTAAGCCTATTGAACTGATGAGGAATCAAATTCCCAATTCTGTCTAGTCTACAACTCTGAATCTACATTGAAACATTTAGAACCCTCGAATTCCTAAACTCCATAAGGTGAATCATTAAAACCACAAGAACAAGAACATGAATACACTCAAACCAAACAAAATGAGCTAAAAACGAAACAAAATTGATGAGTTTTGAAGATTGAGAGACCAAAAATTAATTTTTTGGAATTGAAAGAGCAATTTGAGATTTGCGAACTGACCTTCATTTTGTGAAGAATTTATTTTCTGATCGTGTTGTCCTTCGTCGCACCAACAAGAGAGAGAGAGAGAGAGAGAGAGAGACTGCATATACAGATGATCTGGAGTCCAGATCGTCTCCTTGACTTCTCTCCGGTGCTCCTTACGGGGGATGGCCCAAATTGTGCTACGTCCCCGACTTAAAAATGAACGGCTGAGATCTGCTTCATTTAAAATTCCCTCTCTCCACTTTCGTCTCTCTCTCTTCCACTGCTTTCTGCTCTTTTTTTTCTCTCTTATTTTACAAGATTTGGGTATATACATTTCTGGGTATATATATATATATATATATATGTATGTGTGTTTAAAATTGTATGATTGTTGTGTTGTGGTTTTGGATTGTGATTTGTGTTTGGTTATTTCCACTTCCCTCTTTTTGGATTTTTTTTAGTTATTTTTTGGTCGACCCTCTCTTTAGATTTCAATGCCATTGATTGTAGATTTGTTCCACTTCTTTTGTTTCCTAAAAAAGTTGAATGGATCTAGATGGGAGTATTTTGGTATTTTTGATGGATTTATGATTACTTTTGTTGGGTTTATTCACATAAATCCTTTTGAACTCTTGATTTTTTTTAGTTGGGTTATGATTTTTGGTGTTAGTTTTTTTTGAATGCTGAGTTCAATCTTTTGTATTGACTATTTTGATACTCCAATTCAGTTTTAGAATTTTTTTTTTTTTTAAAATGGAGTAGATTTCAGTCGCTCATTTTTGAGCGAGAGACGTGGCCCAATTTAAATCGTCCTTCATAAGGACCACAGGAGGGAAGTCAAGTAGAAGATCCAAACTCAATGAGATGAGGTTTTGGAGATCTGGAAAGTATGACTTTGTATTAGATGATTGAATAACATAAAAAGGCATAATAAATAATGTTTTTATTTATAAAAAAATGCGACATCCGTAATACACAATGTCTTCACAATGTAATACTAATTTTTATTTATAAAAAAATGCGACATCCGTAATACACAATGTCTTCACAATGTAATACTAATTTTTATTTATAAAAAAATGCGACATCCGTAATACACAATGTCTTCACAATGTAATACTAATTTTTATTTATAAAAAAATGCGACATCCGTAATACACAATGTCTTCACAATGTAATACTAATTTTTATTTATAAAAAAATGCGACATCCGTAATACACAATGTCTTCACAATGTAATACTAATTTTTATTTATAAAAAAATGCGACATCCGTAATACACAATGTCTTCACAATGTAATACTAATTTTTATTTATAAAAAAATGCGACATCCGTAATACACAATGTCTTCACAATGTAATACTAATTTTTATTTATAAAAAAATGCGACATCCGTAATACACAATGTCTTCACAATGTAATACTAATTTTTATTTATAAAAAAATGCGACATCCGTAATACACAATGTCTTCACAATGTAATACTAATTTTTATTTATAAAAAAATGCGACATCCGTAATACACAATGTCTTCACAATGTAATACTAATTTTTATTTATAAAAAAATGCGACATCCGTAATACACAATGTCTTCACAATGTAATACTAATTTTTATTTATAAAAAAATGCGACATCCGTAATACACAATGTCTTCACAATGTAATACTAATTTTTATTTATAAAAAAATGCGACATCCGTAATACACAATGTCTTCACAATGTAATACTAATTTTTATTTATAAAAAAATGCGACATCCGTAATACACAATGTCTTCACAATGTAATACTAATTTTTATTTATAAAAAAATGCGACATCCGTAATACACAATGTCTTCACAATGTAATACTAATTTTTATTTATAAAAAAATGCGACATCCGTAATACACAATGTCTTCACAATGTAATACTAATTTTTATTTATAAAAAAATGCGACATCCGTAATACACAATGTCTTCACAATGTAATACTAATTTTTATTTATAAAAAAATGCGACATCCGTAATACACAATGTCTTCACAATGTAATACTAATTTTTATTTATAAAAAAATGCGACATCCGTAATACACAATGTCTTCACAATGTAATACTAATTTTTATTTATAAAAAAATGCGACATCCGTAATACACAATGTCTTCACAATGTAATACTAATTTTTATTTATAAAAAAATGCGACATCCATAATACACAATGTCTTCACAATGTAATACTAATTTTTATTTATAAAAAAATGCGACATCCGTAATACACAATGTCTTCACAATGTAATACTAATTTTTGATTTATTACTTAATAATACTAATTTTTGATATCACATTGTTGGCTACATATTTTGTACAAGCCAATTACAATTCGACGCGTGGCAAAATAAGGGTAGTACGGGAAGACTATTCAAATCTTCGATCTTGATTGTACACGTGTCAGTTAATATTGATTGTTACAAGGTCTGAGTAGCAGTGGATCAACTGAGAGATATAAAGTGATGTGGCATCATCGGTTACTCACATTTGAATTCAAATTCAAGAGGGAAGCCTAACTGCAACTGATGGTGTAATAGAGCTAATCTTGAGGCAACATGATCAGCGATCATGGAGGAGCAGTTCGACGATTGGAAATACAGTTTGATGGTCATCCTTAAGTAGTATAAATAGCAAAGAAGACCCTAGAAAAAACCCCCAGACTCAGATCCAGTACTTTTGAACTCTTCATTTTTTTTAGTTGGGTTATGATTTTTGGTGTTAGTTTTTTTTGAATGCTGAGTTCAATCTTTTGTATTGACTATTTCGATACTCCAATTCAGTTTTAGAATTTTTTTTTTAAATGGAGGAGATTCCAGTCGCTCATTTTTAAGCGAGAGACGTGGCCCAATTTAAATCGTCCTTCATAAGAAGCACAGGAGGGAAGTCAAGTAGAAGATCCAAACTCAATGAGATGAGGTTTTAGAGATCTGGAAAGTATGATTTTGTATTAGATGATTGAATAACATAAAAAGGCATAATAAATAATGATTTCAAAAAGTACCTAATAATTTTCCGAAAGTACGTGTTCTTGGGTCTAGTGCAGGATAGTATATGTGTGTAGCCAAACATGACTATTGCATTCAGTTCCCGTGCCAGACAACTAACAAGTTGTAGGGGTGGGCGCGGATCGGTTGCGGCCACGAAACCTACAATCAGCCATCCGTTCAACGGATTGGCGGATTGGAGAAAATCAATCCGCATCCATCAGCCAATCCGGAGGATGCAGATTGACGGATTGGCAGGTGGATGCGAATCGGTTTGGCGGTTTAAAATTTTACAAATTTCGAAAGTACGTGTTCTTGGGTCTAGTGCAGGATAAAAAAAAAAAAAAACCACAAACGTGTGTTTGCACTTCCTTCCTCAACCACCACCTCTGTGCAATGGGCAAACATATACGACAAACAGCAAACAACTAACAAACAATAAAGTATTTTTCTGAACAAAAGCAATACCAGCTATTTCCATAGGAATCCAATCACAAACAGATGCAGTCAATACTGAACAATCATACATATTTTTTTTGAACAAATGCAATACCAGTTCTTTCCATAGCAATCCAATCACAAACAGATGCAAAACAAACACAAATTTTCAGCAACTGGCTTGCATTCGTGTTTCAATCCTCTCCTCATACTCCTATCTCTCTCTTCTCTCTTTCGCATTCTCTTCTCTATACATATTATGTATATGTAACATTAATCACTCTCATCACTTGGACCTCACTGGAGTCTCTATCTCATTTTATATATTCTATTGCATATATATAAATATATTGATATGTGTGTGTGTGTGTGTGTGTTATGAGTTTCAGACAAAACCCACCTCAATTTCCAGGTGTATTTGGATACACTTTTCTTCCCTACAAAAGGTTGGACCAGCTGTTATAGATGTTGAAAACTCATTTATATATATCTAATACAAACAACATGTTTGTGTCATCTTAATCCGAAGACTTTGCATCATGTTGATATACCAAATGAAGAACATAGTGATAAGAAAATGAGCAAGACTGTATTTCTACATGATTAATTTAAGCCGAAGCCCTAATTACTAGGAAAAAAATTAAAAAAAAAAAAAGCACAGAACACACTCACAGAAAAGGTTGGGAAGAGAAGATCCATCAAAGAGAACAAGAGAAGAGAAGAAAACCTTCAAATCGATGCTTCGATCGCTGCTCGCCGCCACTGTCACCGATCGCCGATCGTCTATAGCCACCACTGTCGCCGATCGCCGCTCGTCGCTCGCGAGAGAGAGAGAGAGAGTGTTGTCGAAGAACTAGGGCTACAAATCTGAAGGGCAGCAACACAGGGGAAAAGGGGGGAAAGTAAATGCGGGCGGGCGCGTCGGGTGCGCCATTGGAATTGGCAGTTTACCCGTAACCCGACCCGAATTGGTTGTAGCCAAACAAATTCAGTGTTTAAGGGTGCACAAGCCCATGTAATGTAACTCGAAAAAATAAACGAAGCTCAAATTAAAATTCATTTTAGATCTGAAAAAGTAAATAAATATAACTTAAATATATTTTAAAAATTATTAAATTGCAAATCAAATATGAATTTAATAAGCATCTTATAGCCTTGTCATCTAAAAAATATTAAGTGTAATGTAATGCTAATTCGTATATTACCATCTGTCAATAAAAATTATAAATGAAATTAATTAGTTATCAATAATGAATTAGTGATATTATTATGTGATATCAATAATACACAATGTCTTCACAATGTAATACTAATTTTTATTTATAAAAAAATGCGACATCCATAATACACAATGTCTTCACAATGTAATACTAATTTTTGATTTATTACTTAATAATACTAATTTTTGATATCACATTGTTGGCTACATATTTTGTACAAGCCAGTTACAATTCGACGCGTGGCAAAATAAGGGTAGTACGGGAAGACTATTCAAATCTTCGATCTTGATCGTACACGTGTCAGTTAATATTGATTGTTACAAGGTCTGAGTAGCAGTGGATCAGCAGAGAGATATAAAGTGATGTGGCATTATCGGTTACTCACATTTGAATTCAAATTTAAGAGGGAAGCCTAACTGCAAGTGATGGCGTAATGGAGCTAATCTTGAGGCAACATGATCAGCGATCATGGAGGAGCAGTTCGACGATTGGAAATACAGTTTGATGGTCATCCTTAAGTAGTATATATAGCAAAGAAGACCCTAGAAAAAACCCCCAGACTCAGATCCAGTACTTTTGAACTCTTGATTTTTTTTAGTTGGGTTATGATTTTTTGTGTTAGTTTTTTTTGAATGCTGAGTTCAATCTTTTGTATTGACTATTTTGATACTCCAATTCAGTTTTAGAATTTTTTTTTTTTTAAATGGATTAGATTCCAGTCGCACATTTTTGAGCGAGAGACGTGGCCCAATTTAAATCGTCGTCCATAAGGAGCACAGGAGGGAAGTCAAGTAGAAGATCCAAACTCAATGAGATGAGGTTTTAAAGATCTGGAAAGTATGATTTTGTATTAGATGATTGAATAACATAAAAAGGCATAATAAATAATGATTTGAAAAAGTACCTAATAATTTTCCGAAAGTACGTGTTCTTGGGTCTAGTGCAGGACAGTATATGTGTGTAGCCAAACATGACTAATGCATTCAGTTCCCGTGCCAGACAACTAACAAGTTGTAGGGGTGGGCGCGGATCGGTTGCGGCCACGGAACCTCCAATCAGCCATCCGTGCAATGGATTGGCGGATTGGAGAAAATCAATCCGTATCCATAAGCCAATCCGGAGGATGCAGATTGACGGATTGGCAGGTGGATGCGAATCGGTTTGGCGGTTTAAAATTTTACAAATTTTCAATATAATTCAATATGTGCACTTCTTCACAAAAAAAAAAAAAAAAAAAAACCACAAACATGTGTTTGCACTTCCTTCCTCAACCACCACCTCTGTGCAATGGGCAAACATATACGACAAACAGCAAACAACAAACAAACAATAAAGTATTTTTCTGAACAAAAGTGTGTGTGTGTGTGTGTGTGTGTGTGTGTGTGTGTGTGTGTGTGTGTGTGTGTGTGTGTGTGTGTGTGTGTGTGTGTGTGTGTGTGTGTGTGTGTGTGTGTGTGTGTGTGTGTGTGTGTGTGTGTGTGTGTGTGTGTGTGTGTGTGTGTGTGTGTGTGTGTGTGTGTGTGTGTGTGTGTGTGTGTTATGAGTTTCAGACAAAACCCACCTCAATTTCCAGGTGTATTTGGACACTTTTCTTCCCTACAAAAGGTTGGACCAGCTGTTATAGATGTTGAAAACTCATTTATATATATCTAATACAAACAACATGTTTGTGTCATCTTAATCCGAAGACTTTGCATCATGTTGATATACCAAATGAAGAACATAGTGATAAGAAAATGAGCAAATCTGTATTTCTACATGATTAATTTAAGCCGAAGCCCTAATTACTGGAAAAAAAATTATAAAAAAAAAAAAAACACAGAACACACTCACAGAAAAGGTTGAGAAGAGAAGATCCATCAAAGAGAAGAAGAGAAGAGAAGAAAACCTTCGAATCGATGCTTCGATCGCTGCTCGCCGCCACTGTCACCGATCGCCGATCGTCTCTAGCCACCACTGTCGCCGATCGCCGCTCGTCACTCGCGAGAGAGAGAGAGACAGTGTTGTCGAAGAACTAGGGCTACAAATCTGAAGGGCAGCAATACAGGGGAAAATGGGGGAAAGTAAATGCGGGCGGGCGGGTCGAGTGCGCCAATGGAATTGGCGGTTTACCCGTAACCCGACCCGAATTGGTTGTAGCCAAACAAATTCAGTGTTTAAGGGTGCACAAGCCCATGTAATGTAACTCGAAAAAATAAACGAAGCTCAAATTAAAATTCATTTTAGATCTGAAAAAGTAAATAAATATAATTTAAATATATTTTAAAAATTATTAAATTGCAAATCAAATATGAATTTAATAAGCACCCTATAGCCTTGTCATCTTGTAGACACCCCATTTTTGACCGACTTTTAGACTCAGACATCACCGATGGAGCGCTCGGTGATATTGCCTGTTGTGCTTGTTCAGAAGTCCCAAAGTCGCGGCTGCGAGCCCTGCCTCCGGACTTCCGAACCCTCTTCTGTGCCTTGCCTCGGTTTGTGAACCAGACTCGGTTTTCTCTGTTTCTTTTCCTGAGGGGTGGGAGAGATCCCGTAGACCATCTCTCAGTGGCCGTGGGCTACATTTTTTGGCCGTAGGCCATTTTGCCCATTTCGGAGCCCGGTTTTCGGTTTTTCGGGACCGTTGGCCGTGTGCCTCGGTTCGGGACCGCCTAACCATCTCCGTTTGCTCCAGTTTTTGGCATACATCTTATTTACTCCCTTTTGAGGGACACTGGGGTCTGAGAAACCCACTTCGTGGCCGAACGCCACTTTCGGTGCTTAACAGCCCATTTTCGGGACCCCAAACTGCGTGTTTTGGTCCCCGAGCATTCGTTTTGCATCGGTTTTCGCCCATTTTTGGCAGGTACCTCTGTTTCATCACCAGGAAGGCCGTAGAAGGGTGGGAGGCCAGAAATTATCTAAGCAACCAGTTATATTCCATTTTCGCCCTCCGGCGCCCGTTTTTCTCACTTCCGAGCCAATGTTGAACAGCTTGGGGCCACTTTCTTTAACCCCAAACCACATATTTGTGTTGTACAGACATGGGAGGACCCTAAAAGTTTATGGCCGGCCAGAAAATCCAATTGAACCTTTTGAACCCCTCCTAAAAATGGCTTGTTCTCTCTCTTGTTTTAGAGTTTCCAAATTCGAACCACAGGGTTGTGATGAGTGGACCTGGGAGGCCATCTTTTTGTGGTGGTCGGCCACTAACTCAACTTGACCTTTTTGACCCCTAGCTGGCCGGCTAGGGGGGGTGGCCGGCCGGCCACCTGCAGGTCCAAAAGGCGGCCAGCCATGTTCCTTGCAATACACACTTTACAGCTGTATAGTTGTATCCCCCAGAAAATATCTCAATCCGGGGGATATTTTTTGGGGGAAAACTTGCCTCCTTTTCCCCCACCTTTTCCCCACCTTTACTCCCTCTTTTTGTTCCATATAACCAGGGGCCAGCATTTATATTAGGGGTTACAAAAAAATCCATTAAGCCTCTTGCATTATATCTCCTCTCCTTCTCTCATTTCTACCCTAAAACACCCAAGTTTCATCCCCTTTTCTTCACTACCACCTAACACCATCGCCACCACTCCATTTCCAGCAGCAAGGAGGGCTTCTCAGAGGCTAAAGGTGCTGAAACTTGGTCCAAGAAGCAACCAAAGATTGGTCTACAAGGGTGAGTTGCCATTTCCTTCTTTTTAAGCCAATTTTTGCAACATTCCTTAGCCATATATGCTTTCTGTTTTGAGCTCTGGACCTAACTGAAAGTGGCCTTCTTTTGAGTTCTTTTTCACTTTTTCTTAAGGGCTCAACACTGTTTGAGCCCCCCATATTGCACTTGCTTCAATATCCTTCTTAAATACCGTTATCTTGCGTAGTATTTTTAGCTTGTGTGTGATCTGTTTTGGAGGATGATGTAAACTGTAAATAGGCTTATTTTGAGCCCCTATTAAACATTTAAGAAGGGCTCAACACTGTTTGGGACCTCCATGCTATACTTGCCTTTATATTCTCTTTTGGGTCCCATTTTTGCATGTTTTGGCAGCCTATTATGCTTCGGTTTTTGGCCTTTTTATAGTACTAAGAATAGTCTTATTTTGGCCCATTCTTCATGTTTCATTTAGGGCCTTTCATGGTTTGGGACCTCCATATGCCACTTCATGTTATATCCCTCTTTGGTCCCCATTTTTGCATGTTTTTGCAGCCTATTATGCTTCGGTTTTTGGCCTTTTTACAGTACTAGAAATAGTCTTATTTTGGCCCATTCTTCATGTTTCATTAAGGGCCTTTCATGATTTGAGGTATATTTTATACACTTCATGTTATATCTCTCTTTTGGTCCCCATTTTTGCATGCTTTGGCAGCCCCTGATGTTGCTGTTTTTGGACTTTGGTACAAACTGAAAACAACCATATTTTGACCCCCTTGTCATGTTTCATTAAGGGTCTTTGGCTGTTTGTTGAATATTTTGTATGCTTTGTATTATAGCCACTTTTGAGCCTCATTTTGCATTGCATCTCTATTTTTGCATGCCATTGTTGCCCTATCTTTGCTTGCTGTTTGGCCATGATTTGTACTGGTAAAATGCTAATTTTAGGGCTGCCTTGCTACTGTCTATTCATTGCATGTCCATATTGTGCATATTTGGTATAGCTATAGGCCATTTCGGGCCCCGAAATTCATGTTTCGGGACTATTCCATGCATCGGGTGTGTTTTCGCCTCGTTCCGGGGCTGTTTTCCCCCACATTTCAGTGCTGAAATTCCATTAGCATGTTTGCAAATCATATTTCCATGCCATTGCATTGCATTGCATATGTCATTGCCTCGATTTGCGTGCCCGTGTGCACGCATTTCAAGGCACTTCATTTTCATCCATCGGCCTCTTATGTGAGTGTGGCTGAAGCTCTCTCATGTTAGTGAAAGTCCATGTTGCATTCTATATGCCATTTTAGCCCTATTGCAATGCATATGCCATTGCCTCAATTTGCGTGCCCGTGTGCACGCATTTCGAGGCACTTCATTTTCATCCATTGGCCTCTTATGTGAGTGTGGCTGAGGCTCTCTCATGTTAGTGTAAGCCCATATCAGATTTCCATGTCATTTGCATTGCGTATGTCATTATCTCGGTTTGCATGCCCGTGTGCACGCATTTCGAGGCATCTCATGTTTACAGCATAGTGCATACTAGGTTGTATCTTAGATCGCATTCAGTCATTTTCCTCGGTTTGTGTGCCCGTGTGCATGCATTTCGAGACATCTCATTTCCATAACATTGTGTATGTTAGGATTGTATCTTAGTTGCATCTCATGCATATCATGCATATTGCATCGTGTTCGGGATAGGAGTTAGCCCGGGCACGGGAAACGAGGTGCGTTCTGTACTCCGAGTGACGGAACGTGTCTCAATTCCCCAGTCACCGACACCCC